AAAGTATACCTTTTTTAAATTTGAAAACAACATTCAATTGAACAAGCAAGATTATAATTCAATTTTTCAGGAGAAATGTGAAGTGGGCATTGTTTCGTACAATTGCTAACACAATGGATGTTTTACTTGACATACATGCAAGTATGCATTTCTTGGCAAGACAAATTTTCATGCCAAACTGACTTCAACATTTGTCAAAAGTTACAATAAGAGAAATTATCAATACCACTTTTGTGAAGTTCATGATTTGTAATATTATATATATGCATTTCTTCTTCTCTAATAGAATATTATTTTCTTTTGTATCTTAGGTGTTTGATGAAACGCAAAGTACTACTATATATAATGTTACACTTGATTTAAGATGCATTAAACTATAATCTAATAAAAAAAATTAAATTATAGTCCAAACTACATAAATATACAAACTATTGTTATATTAAATATTTTAACTATCATGTTATATAAATTCACTTGACAACTCATACAAATTAATGTTTAAGTTATTTTACCAACCTAAAAATAAAGATATTAATGTACAATAACTACAATTTGCTTCCCGGCCCCTCAACTAAATTATAATTTAAAATTATTCTTCGTTTATACTTATGTTTAGAACTCTAATGAGGTCAAAGGATAAATATGAGACATATTTTTAAGTTAAGACATGATTGACCTAAAAGTATCATGGATTCTAAAATTATAGAGAAGTCCTTAATATGTTCGGGTCGTTTGGTTAGAGGGATTTCAGAAAGAATTTTAATATAAAATAACAATATTAAATTGATTGAATAATAAGTGATACTTCTCACATAACTAACTTTAGATTTGATTGGTCCTATAAAAATAAGGGAAACGGTAAAATATATTTCTTAATTTTATAATTTAGAATAGATATATCTTTTAGTAAAATAAATAGTGTATATATATTTTTATTGTCTAATAAAAGATGTATATTTATCTTTTTCATTAACAAATTAATATTTACTGAATTAAGAAATTTTTAAAATTGATTTTTTTAATTTTAAAATGTCACGTAACACAAAAAGAATTACCCTATTCTTTTTACCCGTTTAGGCCCAACTCAAGGAGAAAAACCCAATTCTCTTCTACTCAGTCATAAATGGTTTGGATTGGGTTTGAATAAAAGAAGAAATTGAATTTTTAGTTGGGTCGACTTTGGATGGGATCTGGAGGAATAAAAAGGGACTTTTACAAAAATATATAATTTAATATAAAATATTACATTCACATAGCTCGTATTTTATATTACACCCCATAATACTTTTTTTGCAGCAATTGCTTATACACGATTGTACAATATTATACATTTAACATACGCAATAAACCTTGTATAAAAGGTGTTTATATATATACTTTTACGCTATTATTTAAATTACACAAATTTATACAAAAAAATTATATTTGATCTCCTACTAACTTCAACGCTACAAAACTTCATGCGAAATGGGTTAAAATCTTTTAAATAACTTCAAATTTTAAAAAAACAAAAAAAACATGTAATTTAATTAAAATTAATTTTTTAAAATTTTCAACTTTAATTTTTTTAATTTTTTTATCTTTTTTGATTTTTTTAATATTTTTAATTTATCAAATTTTAAATTTTTATTTAATTCATCCAATTATTCTACCTAAATACATTTATATAATGACATACCTATAAAAATATAGACATAATCTTATAAAAGATATTAATTTTATACATAATATTTATAGATCTGAATATTATAAATTATGAAAAAACAGTAAAAAGAAGAAGAAGAAGAAAAAGAAGAAAACGCAATGAAGAAGAAAAAAAGAAGCAATAGAAGAGGAAAATGAAAGAAGCCTTAAAAATATAAATAAATAAGAATGAAGAAGCAATAATAACTGCCCCAAAATAACAAATTAGCAAAAAAAATAATTAATGATGGCTAAAGAGGTAATAAAATATATGATTAAAGTGGGTAATTGTTTAATGTAATTTTTAAAAAAAAATAGGATTACATGAATTTATTTTATATAATAGTGAATATGAAATTTTAAATTAAAAAATCAAATTTATGATTTTATTAATTCAATTTGCTAAAAAAAAGAAGATTAAATATGTATCATTTGTTAGACGGCACGGTATATATGCTCTATTTATTAGACGAGGAAGATATATTTATGTACTACATTTTAATAAAAATTATATTCGCTCTAAATCGCAAAATAGAAAAATATATTTACCCCTCAATTCCAAAAAATATAAACCTTGAAAAAACTTTACAACATTTGAGTTGGTATATCCAAGCAATGAGTGTATGTTTGCAAACATACAGTAAAAACTGAAATATATAATTTCGTTATGTCAGCAAGTTCAACATCAATAAATAGCAAAGAACATCTAGTAAAAAATACTAATAATCTGAAACACTGAGCTATCTCATATAACAAAGGCAAATGTCTTTGTGAAGTTTTTAATTTGTAATACTATATAAGCACTTCTTTTCCTCAATAAAATATTATTTTCTTTTGTATCTTCAGTGTTTGATGAAATGCAAAGTACTATTATTTATAGTCAGAGTTTTACTTGTTGGGCATATTAAAATGTAATCTAGTCAAAAAATTATATAAAGTCAAACTACATAATATATAAATAACTTATTTATATTAAATATTTTAACTGCCATGTTATGTAAATTCAATTGACAACTCATACTAATTGATGTCTGGTGTACACCAATTGAAAGATAAAGATATTTATATACCATAACTACAATTAGCTTCCCCTTGACAAAATTATAATTTGAAAATTAGATTATACTCATATTACATAATACTACACAAACTATTATTTATATTAAATATAGCAATTTATTATGTAAATTTATTTGACAACTCATACAAATTAATGTTTGTATCATTTTTAACAACTGAAAAATAAAAATGAGCCGTCAAAATGGGTTTGGCCCTTTACACTAGCTCAATACAGCTAGTTCGTTATTAGGGTATAGTTGGGTTAAGAATTTTTAAATCCATTTAAACTATCCCTTGAGGCTTGACCGAGGGTGCGGACCGAGGCAGATTGCGAGCCAAAGAACCATTTAATTTTAATTTTAATTTAAGATTGTGAAAAAGAAGTAAAAACTAAAAATGGTGATTCTTGATTAAGTCTTAATACCTTACACACTACTTTATTCATTTAGTGTTAGAAATAAATTTCTAATAGTAAATTTCTACTACGTAAGTATAAAAAATTGTATCCATCATGAAAATATTCAAACACTGTTTGCAATCAAAGGCGAGTTACACGACTTTACCTATATTCAAAGTGATAATATTTTGAAAATTGAATTTAAATATTATTATTTTTGATATATAATTTTTTTATAATATTTAACTAATTAAATTTGCTTATGAATGTAGATGGAAATAATATGTTAATTAAAATAATTTTATAGCGAATTCAAATATGCTTGGTGATGTGTGGGTGTGGAATATGTTATAAGTTATCATACAATTATGTATTTTCATATAATAATCATATGTTAGAAATGTAACAAATTGTCATACATAAAAGTTTTAATGTATATTGAAAAGAAATTTTCTTATAAAAATGAAAGCAGAGAAAAAAATAGGTGCTTGACCTAGCGTGCGACCTTTTAGGGGTAGGTTACAGACCGCAGGCAGGTTCAAAATTGCTTTAAGTGAAGGCGGCCACCACCAGCCATCAAATTTCTTGACCCTTAAGACTTGGGTTGGTTTGGATTCGGTTGGCCCATTTTAACGGCGCTAGATAAAAGTACTTATGTATAATACACGATGTGCTTCCTCAATAATTATAATTTAAAATTATCGCTCTTTGTTTAATTTTTGTTTAGAATTTTAATGGGGTTAAGGATAAATGCGAGACATATTTCTAAGGGCTAGGGCATGATTTATCTAAAAGTATAACGGATGCTAAAGTTAAAAATAAGACCTTAATTTATAGGGGTCTTCTTTGTGATGGACAAAAAAAAAAAGAAACCTTAAGTTTTCAAATTTTTAAAAATTAAAAATTAATTTTGTAAACTTTTGTAAAATTTAGTCTACTAATGAAAATAGTAAATATGCATCATTTGTTATATGTGAGAATATATATACATATCATTTATTAGACGATAAGGATATACATACACTACTTTTTAAACGAAAAATACATCCTATCTAAATTGCAAAATTAAAAGAAACACACATATCCTAAAAAATATAAGCCTCGTAAATTTTATAATATTTAGTTGATATATCCAAGCTTAAAGACAAATGTATGATATAAATTATACAAGAATATATAAATATTTTATGAGGTAAAAATGTGAATAATATTTGTATATTTATAGATACACACAGATGAAATTTACTAAAATTTAAGATGCCTAATTATAAATCACTATATAATAATTCATCTGTTTAGCGTTCACAATATAATAATCCATCCATTGTTAGCCAACATGCTCTGAAGGTTAGTGAATAGTAGATCACTAATTTATTCTTCTTCAATTAAATGTCAAGGTTTTGTTGTGCCATAGTTTGATATTTGAATTAGGGGTGAATATGATATAAGTATTAAAATATTGATTTGATAATTTTGATTTTTGGCTTTAAAAAATATTATATTACGTATAAATTAAATTAATTCGATATGATTTGATATTTTAAAATTTAATCTTGATATCTTATTCTATGACAAATCGGTAATTATATTTTGTTCGAATTCAACTTAAATTACTTAAATAATAAAAAATTATAACTTTAATTTTTTAAAATTTTCAACTTTTAAATAATCACATCATTATTTCCTTTTTTAATTTTTTAAAAATATAAGTTATTTTCTTCGTTGTCGGTAACATAAAAAAACACTTCAATCAAAATTGAAAAGTCAAAATTTAACCTTCTAAATAATTATATACAGTATCTGATATTTTAATATTCTTTTTATAAAAGGGAAGAGGTTAAAAGTTTCAAGAAGAAATGTTTGCCCCATGCGCGGGATCGGGCAGACCTTCAGTTTACAAGACTGACGCTCTACCACTGAGCTATAGGGGCATGTGCCACTTCGAAGTATCCTTATTTATATCTAATAAGTAACCAAAAAAGAGTCACGAATCATTTTTTTTCTTTTTTAGGAAAAGTATTAAAGTATCATTTGATGTGTAACTATAAATTGAAAACAATTAGAGTCAATTTGGAAAGTCACTTTATAATTAGAATTGATGTAATTATTAAAATTTACTAATTACGAGATCCTACTAATTATATTTTAATTAAATTAAATATAAAAATTAAAATTTATATATTTTTAAGAACATCATGAAATACATGTTTGACAAAAATATTATTATTATAAATATAATTTCATAAAATTATTTAAATATTTGTAAAAGATGATCTATCAATTCTAGCCGAAAAATAATGACATGCGATGTGAAATATAAGTCAATACTACTAAAGCAAGTAAACTAGAACCGAAAATATAACATAAGTTCAAAATTAAAAAAAAAAATTAACATAATACTCTTATAGCAAATTCTAACATAACTCAAATAAGTTCCAACATAACTTAAGTACATATAATTCAAAAGAAAAAGAAAAATATAAATCTATAACATCATTCAACAATGAAATTTTATTTTAATTCAAAAAGTAGAACAATAATGCATTTATATTAAACAAAGAAAAAAAAAACGCAATTACATGGAATCTCAAGAATTAAAGAAAACTTTAAAAAATAAAAAATTAAAAAAACTCAAAATTCATAAAAAAAAAAAAACCCCAAAAACCAAAAAAAATAAAAAATTAAAAAAAAATAATAGAAATAAATAATAAATAAAAAATAGATAAAATTAGAAAATGACATGTAATTACACGCCAATTCTCATCATCCAGATTGAATTTGAGAGTGTAATTACGTCATCTAATTACACTTAAGTCTCTGTTAACCATGTACTTATCTGACCAAACAAACATGCCAAACCATATAATTGCACTCAATTACACTCAACTCTAATCAAAATAGCTTTTCAAATAGACCCTTAGCTAATCGTAGTTATTAAAGCCTCTAGAATTTATTTTCTCCAACTCAAATAAATTTAATCACAAGGATAATAACTAATACGGAGTGAGTATTGATGCTTTGGAATTTTCTCTAAACACATATTTATCTATATAATAAAGTTAGACATAGAAAATGTGAGGTGACACCTCTCTGTAGCCAAGAAAACTATTCATCTTTTTTTTTTTCTTTTTTTCTTGTTTTTTTCTCCTAATTTTTTTTACATTCTTTTCATGCCAAATATCAAAAGACACTATCATAATTGACTTTTATTAGATATCTTCATTGGTTTCTATAATTGTAGATTTGTAAATAAATATCTTAAGTTATAGACTCTTCAAATACCATGCACGATGGCTTATATAAAAGAGATATTGCTCATTTGAGAAGGTAAGACTACAATAGTAATATTGAAGGAGTTGATTTGCTTTGTTCATAATTTTAGAAAATTATGCAAGCTTAATTGTATTTTCGAGAGAAAAGAGATATATAAATATAAGAAATATGATTACATCGTGATCTTGGTCTTGCTAACTTGTGTAAATAATACTTCTTCTTCCTTCCATATAACGTATTATCTTTATCTATGCATCTCTCTCTCTCTCTCTCTCTCTCTCTCTCTCTCTCTCTCTCTCTGTTATTAATAATAATAATTGTCGTTTATATTTGTTTGCTTAATTCCCCTAATTTACTCACTGATAATTTTGGCTCTTTTAATCAATAAAGTAAATTAATGTTTTTATATATAAATGTGAAAGCAAAAGGTTGAGGTGATCTCCCAAATTCATTTTCTTCGCCCAATTAAATTTTGCATATTAAGTAATATTATATTCTTTTGTAGTTTATTAGATCCAATGATTTAAGGGGTATTAATATTATTTATTTTTTATTAAATTATTATTTCCTATGTTGTTATTTTAGTTGTAATATTTATTGATTTGATTTATTATAGGTTATTCGGTAGAAATTTTATGATTGCGAGTGTTAGGTGTGTATTTTTCTTCTCTTCTCGATCAAACATGGAGGACTTGAAGAGGAGAAGAGGACTTAATATACTATCGAAAAGAAAATAAGTATTTTTATTGAATTAGAAGTTGTATTTGAAGATTTTATTATTATTATTATTCTATGTGATTTTCATTCATTTCAAGTTCTTTCTAAATAATACTCCCTCAGTTTCATTTTAATTGTTAGGTATACTAAAAATAAATTTGTTTCAAAATACTTGCTAGTTTCAAAAATCAAGAGATAATTTACCATATCTTTTCAATTCTACCCTTTGTACTTAAGTCATTTTTAAAATGTGAAAAAAATTATTATTATATGTTTTCAAAAAAAATTAATAAGTGTTATAAACATATTTGTATTATAGTGAATATATAAAGGTATTTGTATTGTAGTAGGATACATGTGTTTATATTATAGTGAAGATCTGTTTTTTGGAGAAAAAATTAGGAGAAATTATCCCTATAAATAGGGGTTCTCCATCATTGTATTTCATCCCATCAAGAGAAATAAGAACTTCTCTCCTTCTCTCTTTCTCTACATATTCTTGTTCTTTCTTTATTATTTCATAACACGTTATCGGCACGAGTCTACACCTTGAGCACTCACTTTGAAAGAACGAGGTAGAAAAATTAAAATTTTTTTGAAAGATGTATTACTTAACCACGGGTGATATTTCTTTGGTGATACTGTTGCTCTACGACTTCTCTTGTCTCAAAATTTGAAGGTCAAGACATTATTGCTGCTGCTTTTAATATGGCTAATCTTACGAGGTGATTTGTTGCCCTTCAAAATTCGGGCAAGAACTACCTTTCATGGGTGTTAGATCTTTGAAATCCATATGGATGCAATGGGTCTTGGAGACACCATTAAAAGTGAAAGCAAAGCATAAAAAATCCATATGGATGCAATGGGTCTTGGAGACACCATTAAAAATTCAAGCAAAGCATCAAAAATCTATATGGATGCAATGGGTCTTGGAGACACCATTAAAAGTGAAAGCAAAGCATCAAAAATCCATATGAATGCAATGGGTCTTGGAGACACCATTAAAAATGAAAGCAAAACATAAAAAAATTCATATGGATGCAATGGGTCTTGGAGACACCATTAAGCGAAAACAAAACATCAAAAATCCATTTGGATGCAATGGGTCTTGGAGACACCATTAAAAGTGAAAATAAAGCATCAAATCAAAATCGTGCTAAGGTTATGATATTCTTGCGTCATCATATTGACGAGAAATTACGAAAAGTGAATATCTCACGATTAAGGGATCACTTATTTTGTGGAATAGCCTAAAAGGTATGACCACGAAGATGGTCATCACCCAAGCATGATATGATGAGATCCATCAAGACTATAAGTACGTTCATGAGTATAGTTCATCAACATTCAAAATCGTTTCAAAGTTGAAACTATGTGGAGAAACTATTAATGATGTTGATATGATTGAATATGTGGTAGTACAAAAATTAATTGAGAGCTCCGGAAGAGCTAATGTATTACTACTTGAAGGAATGAAATTATTGTAGTAAGTCTCAAAAGGAAACTTATAAGTTTCAATGACATTGAAAAAAAAAATTTGAGACTATAAATTATGGGAAGATCTAATATCTTCATGCTACTACAAGCGGGTTATAAATATTTATGTAAAAGATTGCAGCCATTTTTGTTATTTATTAGTACATAAATATGGGTATGATGTGAAATCACATCTTGAAAGTAAACTAGAAGTTTATTGAAATAAGTTAGCATAACCGGTTGGTCATCGGTTTAAATGTGATGCAAAATAATTGAGAATTCACGAGGCTATATGTTGAAGAAATAAAAGATTCTTCAAAAATTCTCTTGTGTTGCTTGTTCTCGTGATAGAATGATTTTGATCGGCTAAGATTTGGAATTATATTCCGTGAAATTTTGAACTCATAAAAGGTGAATATGGGCCCATTCACCTACCATGTGAGTGCCGTTTGCTAATAGATGCATCTATGGAATGGTCAGATGTGTTTTGATATCAACTTGCAATTGATTTTTGTAAGGTTGTTTGCTCGAATTATTAAATTAAGAGCATAGTTCGAAATTATAGAATCATGTTGATAATCTTGATTCATATATATGTTGGTTTAGCAAAAATTGTATGACTCAAATTATAGCTTCATCATTGGTTATGAGATTAAAACTCCCAAATAAAATTGGGTATGAGATATGTTTATTTAAATATAGCAACACGTGAATGCATCAAGCCAACAAAGTTCCACGCTTTATCTTAAGTTGTATTGGACAAAGATTAGTGCAATTGAGCCATTATAGTAAGCGAGAAGTTTACTAATTTCAATACTTTTGTACTTTGGCATGATAAATGCAGGGCGTCACTGGATCTATAGCCTGATGAGGCAATTTTCCCAAAATTAGGGAGAAATTGTGAAATCAAAAGAGAAATTTTGTGAAAAAATCCATCCTTTGTCTCATCTTGATCCGGTGCTTCTATTTGTGAGCAAGAAGTACAAAAAATTATTCATCTGCGAAAATTGCAAATCAAATGCAGACGCATTTACGATTTTAAAGTACTAAGTCATTATATTCTATAGAGAATGATCCAAATTCGAATTGATGTCCTTGAAGGACCATCTACTAATGTCATAGCCAATGAGTCCAAAGAACACGCCTAAAGCGTGGTAGACCGATGAGTTCTAGAGATCGAAATCCTAGAAAAAGAAAAAATAAATGGTCAAAGATGACACTACGATAGAACCACGTATGAGTTGAGACTTGAGCAATTTTGATATTCATGAAGAAATCAATGAGCCTAAGACTCGAAAATGAGGACTATCCATAAATTCAAGTGATCTTTGGAATTAATCGATCAAAAATAGTGGTGGATTATGTCTTTGCATATAATGTTGCAACAAAAATCATGCAAGATAGTGAGGATCTTGAACCTCAATCTGTCCTGAGAATGTCGACAAAGAAATGATTGGCCAAAGTG